ATTGCCTCAGCACTAGTCTAGAGCAAGGGTGTCAAACATACAGTCCGGAGCCTGGAACCAGCATGTCCAGGGCTCTTACCCGGCTGGCAAGCAACTGGTGCAATGGAGGGAAGGCAGGAGGCTGCTGGGGGGGGGGGTGAGCAGGCAAGCAGGCACACGTGGTGAGGTGTGTGGTTGAAGCTGTCAAGAAATAGAAAGGAAATTGCCAGGGGTGGAGCTAAGAAGCTGAGGTAAAATAGTGGGATGGGGAATGGCAGTGAAGGCAAAGGAAGAGGTGTGGTGTTTTTCCCCCTCATGCCTCCTCTGACCACAGCTCAGCTTGGATTGGCGAAGCTACTACATGAGTGGATGGAGCAGGTGGGGGGCAGTGACCTTCCTTCTCCCTCCCCATTCTCAGCCTGTGAGGAAAAAGAAGCCGTGGGAGGACAAAAAGCGCCCCCTGGAGGTTTCAGAAACAGCCTTTCCATCAAGCCTTCCCCTCAGCCCCGCTGCTTCTGTGGGAAACACAGGAGTGATGAGAACTGGGGGTGGGTACAGAACCTTAAACGTACAGGTACTTCCTTCACACACTTATTGGAGTTCGAAGTCATCATCAAGAATTTTGATGGAGGTTCGAAGGGTTTAGTCTCTTCCATACAGCAAATTTTACTTAGAAATCTTAATAAAGGGCAGTTTAATTTTCAAAAAAAGTGGACAGCTGATTTGGGCAGAGAACTCCCAGAATTGTTCTGGCAATGGGTTTGGCAAACCCACTCGAATACATCAATAATTTCCAATATAAATTTTCAGTTTTTTAAAATGAAGACCCGCTGGTATTATACCCCACAAAGATTACACAATATAAATAAAACAATCTGCCCATTGTGCTGGAAAGGCTGTGGGCAGACTGGTTCATTTTGGCACTGTTGGTGGGAGTGTCCCTATATCCAAAACTTCTGGAAGGATATAGTAGCTCCAATAAGTGAGATCACGAATTTGGTGCTCCCTTTCATTCCTGAACTGATGTTACTTGAATTATGGTCAGATCCTCCTCCTTTGAAACAAAAGAAAGAGACAATCTCTATCTTGATTGCCGTGGTGAGACTCACCATTGCGTCTAAGTGGCAATCAAACCATTGCGTCTAAGTGGCAATCAAATCTAGTTGGTTGGTATGATAAGGTATGGATGCAATTCATTATGGGAAAAATTGCAAATGGTATTTCTAATCAAGCTAATAAAGATTATCAAACATCATTTGTTTCCATCTGGTATCCAATAATTCAATTCCTCTCAGAAAAAGTAGTAGTTCCCTCTTTTGTTAAAGATAAAAAATGGCTTTGTTTTTAAGAGTGAAGTTCAAAATAGTGAACGACCTTAAAATGATATGTTGTTGTTCACTTGCACAGTTGAGTCCGACTCTTCGCGACCCCATGGACCAGCTCCCGCCAGGCCCTCCTGTCTTCCGCCGTCCTCTGAAGTTTGCTCAATTTCATGTTCGTTGCATCTGTGACACTGTCTAACCATCTCATCCTTTGCCGTCCCCGTCTTCTTTGACCTTCAATCTTTCCCAGCATCAGGGTCTTCTCCAGGGAGTGCTCCCTTCTCATTTGGTGGCCAAAGTATTTGAGCTTCAGTTTCATTATCTGGCCTTCCAGGGAACAGTCAGGGTTGATTTCATTTAGGATTGACTGATTTGATCTTCTTGCAGTCCAAGGGACTCTCAAGAGTCTTCTCCAGCACCATAGTTCAAAAGAGTCTATTCTTCGGCGCTCGGCCTTCCTTATAGTCCAACTCTCGCAGCCATACATGACTACTGGGAATACCATTGCTTTGACCATACGGACTTTTGTTGGCAGGGTGATGTCTCTACTTTTTATCATGCTGTTTAGGTTCGTGATGTACTCTGCATATATATTAAATAAGCAAGGTGACAGTATACATCCTTGTCGTACTCCTTTTCCTATGCTGAACCAATCAGTTGTTCCGTATCCGGTTCTAACTGTCGCTTCTTGGCCCTTATACAGGTTTCTCAAGAGACATGTGAGGTGGTCTGGTACTCCCATCTCTTTAAGGACCTGCCATAGTTTGTTGTGATCCACACAGTCAAAAGCTTTAGCATAGTCAATGAAGCAGAAGTAGATATTTTTCTGGTACTCTCTTGCTTTCTCCATAATCCAGCGAATGTTGGCAATTTGATCTCTAGTTCCTCTACCTCTTCGAAACCCAGCTTGTACTTCTGGTAGTTCTCTATCCACGTACTGTTGAAGCCTAGCTTGTAGGATCTTGAGCATGACCTTGCTAGCGTGTGATATGAGTGCAATTGTGCGATAGTTTGAACATTCCTTGGCGTTGCCCTTCTTTGGGATTGGAATGTATACTGATCTTTTCCAATCCTGTGGCCACTGTTGCGTTTTCCAAATTTGCTGGCAAATGGAGTGCAGCACTTTAACAGCATCATCTTCTAAGACTTTGAATAGCTCAGCTGGGATACCATCACCTCCACTAGCTTTGTTGTTAGTAATGCTTTCTAAGGCCCATTTAACTTCACATTCCAGGATGTCTGGCTCGAGGTCAGTGATTATACCGTCGTGGTTGTCAAGGACATCGAGGTCTTTCTTGTATAGTTCTTCTGTGTATTCTTGCCATCTTTTCCTAATCTCTTCTGCTTCTGTTAGGTCCCTACCGTTTTTGTCCTTTATCATGGCCAGCTTTGCATGGAACGCTCCCTTGATTTCTCCAATTTTCTTGAAGAGATCTCTAGTCCTTCCCATTCTATTGTTTTCCTCTATTACTTTGCATTGTTCATTCAGGAAGGCCTCCTTATCTCTCCTTGCTGTTCTCTGGAAATCTGCATTCAGTTGGGTCAATCTTTCCTTTTCGCCTTTGCCTTTCGCTTTCCTTCTTTCCTCTGCTATTTGTAAAGCCTCATCAGAAAGCCACTTTGCTTTCTTGCATTTCTTTTTCTTTGGGATGGTGGTGATTGCTGCCTCCTGTACAATGTCACAAACCTCCGTCCATAGTTCTTCAGGCACTCTATCTATCAAATCCAGACCCTTGAATATATTCTTCACCTCTACTGTATATTCATCAGGGATGTGATCTAGGTCAAACCTGAATGGCCTCATGGTTTTCCCGATTTTCTTCAGTTTAAGTCTGAATTTTGCAATGAGTAGCTCATGATCTGAACCACAGTCAGCTCCAGGTCTTGTTTTTACTGACTGGATAGAGCTTCTCCATCTTTGACTGCAAATTATATAGTCAATCTGATTTCGGTGTTGCCCATCTGGTGATGTCCATGTGTAGAGTCGCCTCTTATGTTGTTGGAAAAGGGTGTTCACTATGACCAGTGTGTTCTCTTGACAAAACTCTGTTAACCTTTGCCCTGCTTCATTTTGCTTTCCAAGGCCAAACTTGTCTGTTATTCCGGTTACCTTTTGACTTCCTACTTTAGCATTCCAGTCCCCTATGATGATGAGGACATCATTTTTTGGTGTTAGTTCTAGGAGGTGTTGTAGGTCTTCATAGAACCGGTCCACTTCAGCCTCTTCTGCATCAGTGGTTGGGGTTGATATATAAAATATATAAAATGATATAGCTTCTCTATATTTGAGGTATAGTTGTTTGTATTAATTCTAAGGTAGTTATTGTATTTGTTTTCCAGATGGCAAATAACTTTTCTTTGTGCTGCTATAAGATGTTTGGACTTTGTTATGTTTATTAATATGTTACATGTTTATATTTAAATTTAAAATATTTTTTTTAAAAATAACTGGGTGGAGACATCTGGGACAGCCAGGTTCAGACCCCCCTGTCATCTGGGTCACCCAGGGCTGGTCACTCAACCTGGCCCACCTCACAGGGTTGGAGGGGAGGATGGGGCGTTGGAGGGGGCAGTCCAATGTGCTTCCTCGAGATCCTTGGAGGTAGGACAGGGGAAGAGAAGAAACAAAGAGCAAGAGGGAAAGAGAGGAAAGCACCAGAGACATATTGTAGCCATGCTTGGCTGCTGAGGCTGGGCATATGGGGTGTGTGTGCTGAAAAACTACCCTATTTACTTGAAAGGATGATGACTCATCTCCTAAAAGTGCTATAAGTATATGAAAAGTAACTAACTTGTATGGAAATGTAAGATCCCCCCCCCCCATGGTATCCTTTGGACAAAACCTAGTCTTGCATATGATTAAATACATTTGTTGGGGCTTTTGTGGGTTTCCCAGTAAATAAATTGTTTTCACTGCTAAGATTCAATTGCTTTTGCTTGTATTTTGAGCAAAAAATAATATTGTTAATTGGTTTGCCTGTGTCCTTCATAAAGTTTCTATCTCCAGTACCTGGCATTACATTTTAAGGCACACATGGCCTGGCCCGACAGAGTACATTTATGTCAGATCTGGCCCTTGTAAGAAATATAAGTTCAACACCTCTGGTCTAGAGCCCTTTAATTTCCACCCTAGGGCTTCATCCACCCTATGCACCTTGTGAAAATGGTAAAGGCTATAAGACTAAGTGCATACCAGAATAAACCACAAAAATATTGAAGTCATTTGCTGCCTCGTCTGACAACCCCTTCTTCTTAATCTTTGCCTTAGGGAGACTGTGCCTTAGCAAATACTGCTCCATGATTCTCTCCAACTGCTCCATGATTCCCTTAAACTATCACTTTGCCCAAAACTATTACTTAAAAGGTTGGGAAATGAAGAAGGGATGATCACTGTCAAAAAGCATAGCCAAAAATAAAGATAATATGAGTTTTGATTCATGCAAACTGCTAGATATTACTGCATAGACTAAAATATAATAGCTTTTAAAACATAGGAAAACATGGTATATTTTATACTCGCATCTATCTGCAGGTTTTCATCAATGTATCAGTCACCACCCAGGAGGACACTCCCCCCCCCCCTCAAGAACAGCTTATGGGTGGGATGTTTGCGTGTACTGGTTCAGAAAAGCCCTAAAACACATGTGGAACACTATGCACAATCGTTTGCCCTCCAAGCCCTGTTGATAATGGGCTTACTTTTAATGAGGCACAGATCACATTCAGAGCTTCCTTGATTTGAGGATGATGGGACTCATGTACCAGTTCTTCGCAGATCCATATGCCAAGGCTACATAAAGCAACACATCTGCAAAATAACAATGAATAGCAGGTCAGAGACTGACTTCAACCTAGGTACGATTTAGTGTCGTATTTCATTAAATATATTCTATACCTGCCCTGACCTGGATAACCCAGGCCAGCTCTAGCTCGTCAGATCTCAGAAGCTAAGCAGGATTGGCCGTGGCTAGGTATTGGAAGGGTGACTTCCAAGGAATACCAGGGTTGCGATGCAGAGGCAGGCAATGGAAAACAACCTCTGAATTATCTCTTAGCTAAAAAACAAGTCTAGCTCACCACCTAGTGGTGCATAACGTCAAAGAGCTAGAACTTCCAGATGCCAGGCAATTGTAGGATCTCCTGGCTATACTACACACAATGCTGCATGATGATTAATTAATTAATTAATTATTCTATACCTACTACATTAAAAGTGATATTGTCAGCAGAATACTAAGGGTTTCTTTACATTAAAATGTAAACATTTTAAAGACTAACTGAACACATTTGCCAATGATCTTTCCTTATCTGTACCTTGCAGGCCCAGATGGCTCCTCTCTTGCAGAATTTAATACTGTTTTGATGATGAGTTCCTAAAATAAGAATGTTTAGAAAACAGTCAAGAGTGGGTGAAAGGACATCAAATGATTTAGTCACATATATTTGCTGAATATCTTGGCCCACCCATCTCTTGGCCCTGTATCACTGCCTCACCCGCACAGCCATCACCTCTCCTCAGAGAGAGAGAGGCCTGAATTGTTGCTTCCTCCTTCCACAAAAACATACAAACATAACTCCTCCCCCCCCCAAATAGGTACCTACCACATCAAATTGGATACATGAATTACTGGATGGCCAGTACATTAAACTTAATATTCTTTCCTATTCAGAAATGAAATGATTGAACTTATACTCAGATGGAAGATATGCTCAGACATATATATACATACATATATACCCTGTTTCCCCGAAAATAAGACCTACCCCAAAAATAAGCCCTAGCAGGATTTCTATGCATTTGTGGTATAAGCCCTAGTGTGTCTTCTTGAGAAAAAATAAATATAAGACAGTGTCTTATTTTCGGGAAAACACGGTATATATACACACATACATATATACATATATACACACACACACACATACACACACTAGGAGTAAAGCTCGTTATGGGAAGAAATACAACGAGCTCTAGAAGGAAGCTCCAGGTGAGTGTCCCGGCTGTGGCTGGTGGGGCAGCAGAGGGAAGGGGAAAATAGAGGGAGACAAGCCATGTTTATTTCCTTCTGCTTAGATATAGGGCAGGGCTGTCTCAAGTCATTTTGCTGCCCCAAGTGGGTAGTATGGGACGACAGCCTCAGGGTAACAGGTATGGTTCCCTCCACCCGACTTACATTGATATGGGGTTATGCAGTGGCAGCTAAGGTAGAAAAGCCCCCCCCCCATGCCATGTCTTCTGGGTTCCGAGGGTCTGGAAAGCGGTTCTATAGCCAGTTACAGGGTTGCCAACTCTGGGTTGGGAAATACCTGTAGATTTGAGGGGTAGAGCCTGGGGAGGGCAGGGTCTGGGCTGCGGGGGGACCTCAACAGGGTATAATTCCATAGAGTCCATTGCCCAAAGCAGCCATTTTCTCCAGGAGAACTGATCTTGGAGATCTCCAGGTGCTGCCTGCAGGCTGGCAATACTAAGGGGAGGGCCAGACCTGTAGACTTGAGGGGTAGAGCCTGGAAAGGGCAGGGCTTGGGGGGGGGGCCTCAGCAGGGTACAATTCCATATTGTCCATTGCCCAAAGCAGCCATTCTCTCCAGGAGAACTGATGTTGGAGATCTCCAGGTGCTGCCTGGAGACTGGCAATACTAAGGGGAGGGCCAGACCTGTAGATTTGAGGGGCAGAGCCTGGGGAGGGCAGGGCTTGGGGTGTGGAGGGACCTTAGCAGGATATAATGCCATAGAGTCCACTGCCCAAAGCAGCCATTGTAATAGCTGGGAAATTTTCTGTAGTGGCAATGATGTCCTGTGGCTAGGGAACCCGGTGATTTCTGGGAGATTTCCAGGCCCCACAGGGAGACTGGCAACTCCAGTGACCATTTAAGGGAAGATTGGGATATGTATTTTAGCAACTCCAGTGATCGTTTAAGGGAAAACTGGGATATGTATTTTACCTCAGGACAAATTCAATGACTCGCAACAACAAACTGTTTAGAATGTTAGAGGCAAAGGCCCATCGGGCCACATATGCAAATGACCTCTCTGTTCCGACTGGCTATTGGGGGGAGAGGAACAGCAAACTGTTTAGAATATTGGAGGCGAGACTCAGGCAACGCAGCCAGTGGATAGGGACAGCTTCTGAGTGACAGATCAGGGAGCGAACTGATTGGGAGCGTGTGGAATGTTCAGGAGAGTCCATGACCAAAACAGAATTATATATAAGGGGAGATAACTACTTTACCATCTGCTTAAAACAATTCAAAACATACCTTAACATCTGTGAACTGAGACATAACAATGTCAGGAGTGTTTGGGTGTAGAGCTGGGAGTTCACAATATAAGTTGGGAAAGCAAACTAGAGAGCCTAAGAGAACTTGTGCTTCTACTCGTGGTGCCTAAGTGAAAAATAAGATATAAACATTTAATCTTCAGCCCCAAATGAAATGAAGCTTAAATATACATAAATGCATTTTTGTAAGCATCTCATGTTATTCTGGCTTCGCTTTCTACTCTTCCATCTCCCCCAAACTGCTGACATTTAGATTGGGGCAGGAACCTATATCTTTTGCTTAGATTGGACTGTATCACTGAGGCTACCAAATAAATGAATATATAGAGAATCCGTAAAGAAATGAACTTTAACACCATGTATCAAAAATAGGCCTGTCAAATCTCACCAAATCGCGGCGTGGGATCTGCATGTCTTTGCAGAATCCTTGCCATGGGGACGGCGAGACACGTTGCACCGCCGTCACCAGGACATGACACTATGTGTCGCTCTGGCAATGGGGCTGTGTGGAGCCCTGTTGCCAGAGTGACGTGTAGCGTCAGATTCTGGTGACGGTGGGTGCAACGCGTCTCACTGTCCCCGCGGCAAGGATTCTGTGAAGACCTACGATCCCACGCCACAACTTGGCAACCCTAATCAAAAACCTAACTAGTGAGAATGTAAAATGTGTGCACACATCAAATGTACAACTTTATAATATATTCATTCAGGGTGTCATGTGTGTTTGGTTAGAGAACACAGATGACATGACACTTACTAAGAAGGAGTTGAACAAGTAAACCTTGTACACAGCATGCTATTAACATATATCTTAAGTATGTACAAGCACAAGCAAGTATGCAAATCAACAGTAACAGCTGAAACCGAATGATCACTTACATTAAGAAAAGAGGATGCTGCCACTCTACCAGCTGCTATAATGAAGTCCATGATCAGTGTGGTAGCACCAGGCAAACCAAGGGAAAAAAACTGAGGAGAACAGTGCTTGATGATTGTATTTACAATATCCTTGAAAGAAAAGGAGCATACGACTACTTATTAGACAAGTTTCTTACAGTGTCCATAAGACATACTTTGTTAAAGAAAAAACCCAAAAATGACAAAATAAGTACTTAAAAGCCTGTTCTGAGAGTGTCAAACCTGGTGACTCCAACTGAATTTGAAACTGGCACAGAATTGCCTTTGCTTAACCCAAACAGGAAAATAGTAATACTAATAAGAATAATAATGGATTTTCAGAGTAATGTTTTGATCCCCCATGAGTAGACAGTACTGACTTTGATAGACTGTGGGTGTGGTCACCGGCCCTAACTAGAATGAATAATGAGCCCAGAAACCAGTATTCAAGAGGACTGTTACAGATCTTGGGGTTGTCTCTATTGGGTTCTCTTCAAGGGATAGGAAGTACACATGACACTGCATTATACTGAATCAGACTGTTAGTCCATCAAAGTCAGTACTGTCTACTCAGATTAGCAGTGGCTCTCCAAGAGATCTTTCACATCACCTATTGCCAAATCTTTTAACTGGAGATACCAGGGATTGAACCTGGGATCTTCTGCATGCCAAGCAAGATGCTCTACCACTGAACCACAGTAGTAAGAATTCTGCTTTTGGGGTTATAATCCAGCCTAGCAAATGTGAAGATGAATTTAACTTTATACCCTCATCATTTGAAGTTTCAACAGGTTTTCAGACAAATGATCTGGTAGAGGAAAGGGAAAAAATCACTCCTGTGTAATACACACTGTCCCCTCCCCTTCTCCCTGACCCTAGCCTGTAACCTATGAATCGCATATGCATAGTTTCCCATTATTTAACTTCAGAGGAACATGGATCCAAGAGACTAAAGAGAATGTACCTGGAGAAGGTGGTATGAGAGGAAGGATGGATAAATTTGTATTTAAACACTTATTCTACATCATATTACATTTTCAGTATCTCTCCTTATATATAATTGAGTAAGAACATTCTATATGAACATTCTAAAATGCCCGCCTTTAGTGTTAGGCCAGAAGAACTGCCACTCAGAAGACGCTGGCTGGGTTGGCTGGCTGCTTTGTGCAGTCCCGCCCAGCGTTTCAAGGTCTTTTGCATATGGAAGCTGATTGGACTTCACTGCATTCCACACCTCAAACTCACCCCCCTCCCCGCAAGGCAGTTGGAATGTCAGTTGCATATGGAACCTTCAAGGTCTTTTGCATATGGAAGCTGATTGGACTTCACTCCATTCCACACCTCATACTCCCCCCCCCCGCAAGGCAGCTGGAATGTCTGGGTGTGTAGGTCCCAGGATCATGTTTTAAGAGCTGCCTGGGGGATTATGGACCATTCACACACTTTCAACCTTAACATACCTCATAGGGGGAGAGGAGAATGATGACAGCTGCTTT